TTAGCATTCTCACTGCTTGAATTCCCTTATTGATGTTTAATCTCGCTGATGGGTCTCATGCAGTATTCAAATGATTGATTTTTTGTACGCCTTTTCTTTTTTTTAATGGTGTCCATTTCACAGAGGAGCTTTTGTGGCTTTAAACTTTCATCATTTTAAAATATAAATATATATTTATATTAGAACACCCTAAAAACTGTGTTTGCTAACAACAACGACTTGTTTCTTTCTTAATCTCACATTTTTGTCGTCATATTTCCGTCAAACTCTAGATGTTCTTCATTGCATTTTAATGTCTGGTTGTACTTTCTGTCTGGTTATGAATACACGTTTAATGCATTTTAAAGGCTGTCATTGCACTGAGAATGTGATGACTATGCATCTCAAATATCACATTGTATGCTTTTTATTTAAGCATTTTTATGAAGCTGGCAAAGTGTTCGAAGAAAAACCTAAAAAACTCAAAAATGTCACATGAAAAGGATTCATAAATGGATAGGTTGAATATTCTCATGCTATCCACTAAAACTTCTGTTTTCAATTCACAGTACATAATGTAAAATGCTTGCACATGTCTATGTGTCTGTCTGTATAATAAGAAATAAGAGCAACAAATCAGCATATTGTAATGATTTCTAAAGGATCATTTGACACTGAAGTCTGGAGTAATGATGCTGAAAATTCAGCTTGGCATCACACATAAGAAAATATTCACAACTAAAAAAGTTATTTTAAATTGTAATAATATTACACAATATTGTTCTTTTTACTGAATTATTTATCAAATAAATGCAGCCCTGGTGAAAATAAGAAACTTAAAAAAAAATCAAATTATTCCAAGCTATATTCTGACAATAAATATACGCATACTTATGTATATTACCATTTTAAACTTATAGACTAATCTTTATTAAATTAACAAAGACTTTAAAAATGTCAAAAAAATCATGGACAAGAATTGAGTAATATTGTTCTGCTGTTCCATTTTTACTGCACTTTACAGCTACTGATGGTGCTCATTTAACCAGCAGCCATAAATGAGAACCACATGCACAATGTCCACTGTGCGAGCAAGATCCCGTGGATATCTGCTAGGTCTGGTTTAGTCCACTGCCTTGTTAACTATGTCAAGTCAAGTCACCTTTATTTATATAGCGCTTTTAACAATACAGATTGTGTCAAAGCAACTGAACAGCATTAATTAGGAAAATAGTGTCAATAATGCAAAATGACAATAGTAAACACTCATTTTTCAGTTAAAGACAGTTCATCATTGAATTCAGTGATGTCAACATCCAGCTCAGTTCAGTTTAAATAATATCTTTGCAATCATGTCAACGATAACGCTGGAAATGAAGTGCCCCCAACTAAGCAAGCCAGAGGCGACAGCGGCAAGGAACCAAAACTCCATCAGTGACAGAATGGAGAAAAAACCTTGGGAGAAACCAGGCTCAGTCGGGGGGCCAGTTCTCCTCTGACCAGACAAACCAGCAGTACAGTTCCAGGCTGCAGCAAAGTCAGATTGTGCAGAGGACTCATCTGGTTCCTGTGGGCTTTCATTTTCTCAAAGGCGAAGCAGGATACCCAGGGCTCGGTTTACACATATCGCCATTTCTAGCCACTGGGGGACCATAGGCAGGCTATACTCTTAAAAATAAAGGTGCTTCAAAAGGTTCTTCAAGCGATGCCATAGAAGAACCATTTTTGGTTCCACAAAGAACTATTCAGTCAAAGGTTCTTTAAAGAACCATCTCTTTCTTACCTTTTTATAATCTGAAGAATTTCGCCACAAAGAACCTTTTGTGAAACAGAAAGGTTCTTCAGATGTTAAAGGTTCTTTATGGAACCATTTAGACAAAAAGGTTCTTCTATGGCATCGTGAAGCACCTTTATTTTTAAGAGTGTAGGGGAACTCATATTAATGTTAAAAAACCTCATAAAGTGACATTTTCATGCCATGGGACCTTTAAGATCATATCTAAATATATTGTTGGATATGGGATATTCTATCTGTAAGAAGTCTTTTTAGTATCTCTCATTTGAAAGTTGCTGTCAGTAAGATTTTTATGTATTTATTTTTAAAGATAGATTTATGTAATATTTTAGTCAGCAAGTTTAAGTAAAGACTTAATTTATGCTACAAATGTTTCCATTTCAAATAAATGCTTTTCTTTTGAACTTTCTGTTCATCAAAGAATCCTGAAAAGAAAATGTATCATGGTTTCCACAAACATATCAAGCAGCACAAAAGTGTTAAACGTTGATGATAATCAGAAATGTTTCTTGAGCAGCAAATAGGCGTATTAGAATGATTTCTGAAGGATCATGTGACACTGAAGACTGGAGTAATGATGCTGAAAACTTCTTTGCAACACAATACATTACATTTTACAATATAATCAAATAGAATACACTTATTTTAAATTGTAAAAATATTTCAAAATATCACTAGATATTACTTTGATATACTAAGATAAACTTTGGTAACACTTTAAACCTTTATATATATATAATGCATTATAAATGTAGGTTACAATGCATTATATCGTTTCATAAATATTTATACCCAAATTTAAAATGTATTATAATATTTGAAGGTTTGTTGTCATGTATTTTAATGCCAATATATTTTAAAGCCATGAATAGATAAGTATTATGATGTATTACAACTGTGCTTATAATTATTAAATGTATTATAACATGCATTACAAGGCATAATTAATGCATTAGAACTTCTGTAATGCATTATGTAAGGGCTTTGAGTGTTACCCAAAAAAGAAAAAAGAAAAAGCTGACCCCAAACTTTTGAATGGTATAGTGTATACAGTAAATAATTGTATTTATTCTGAATTAATTAAATCAGTTTGATATCTATATTAAAATACTTTAACATTGTTGAGTGATGGCACTACGGTGGCCGAGAGAGCTCAACACGCTGCATATGAAAAAAACACCTGCAAATTAAGAAAACATCTTTATCAATTTGACAACACATGTGCTGCAAAAGATGTTTTCTTAATTTTCAGGTGTTTTTTTCTATTTGCATGTTTCTTAATTTGCAGCGCGTTGAGCTGTCTCGGCCACCGTATAGGGCACAAACAAATCAGTGTTTTAAATTCTTTGAAACAGACTATTTGATCTGATTCTCAGAAATGAATCAAACATACTAACTCCAGTGAAACAAAATGATAATGCATAGTTGTGTGGTTCTCATGACACCTGCAATATGTCACTGATATCTGACAGGTGGTATGTGTGCTATTCCAAAACATTTACACTTACAGCACATTCCTATTCTATTCTATTCTATTCTATTCTAGTCTAGTCTAGTCTAGTCTAGTCTATTCTATTCTATTCTATTCTATTCTTGTGAATATACAATATTCTAGCAACAGGAAAGTGTGTCCATCACTGAAATGAGCAGATCTTGCCTGGTTACTCTTATTAACATAATTACAGTCCCTCGACTCAAAGCATCTCTTTATAGACTGCTCAAATTATGCACATGAAAAGAAAAAAAAAAAACCCTGGGAAGGTCATTTATAAGCTGATCACAAAGACGACCTGTGACTGTCACTAACCTGTCATTATAGTTTTTAGCTGGTATTTCTCTACACGATGCAGTGCATGTTTTTCAAGCCCCAACTTGTGGCATAAAGCTTATCATTGAATGGCTGGGTGAAAATAAATGGCTTTTGCAGTCGGTTTCCTCCGCGTTTGGAGGTGCCGCTCACGCACACAGCTGAGATAGGAAGTCCCTGTGGCCATGGTCGTGTAGGTGGTGATATTTCTTTTGAATCGCGCTGAGGTCCTGCAGTCGAGTTTTCCTCTTCAGCATCGCACACGCACAGACATCTGAGACATGTGGAGGCTGCGTGGACATCCAGAACGAGCTTCAGATGAGCGTTCCCACGCTGCGGAGGAGACAGAGACTCTGGCCCCCATCCACCATCCACAAATTACACAGCTCCATGTCCAGATATGAAGTCATCCCGGCTCAAGTGTGCAGATGGGAAAGGCGGATTTTTTTAATATGCTCAAAGACAAAAACTGACTACTTTTAGGAATCTGGCAGTGTCTTGTAAAGAATAAAATAACTTTATGATTCAACAATAAGGATATTGATGGCGATGAGTGATGGTCCTCATAGTCAGATATAGTGGCAATAAATTTAGTTTAATAACTGGTGCAGACTTTAATCTGGCTTATGTTCAGTGCATGCATTGAATATATTACCTATCAATATTTTTTTAACAGATCACTTTACCCCTTGCATAATGCATAATCAGTTTGTTGAAAAATGATGAAAATCCATCCATGGATGTCAAGATCATATATATATATATGTATATGTATATATATATATATATATATATAGTTGTATAAAATAAATGAGTGTGAATATTTTTTTTCCAGAATTTCTCATTTTGAAATCCATAGAAAATTACATGAACTTTTGCAATATTTTTTCATTTTTATGTCAACTATCACTTTAAAGCTTAATGGCTACAAATAAATGTCCTTTATTGGCACTGCATGAAAATAAGTTATTTGTATTTAATGATATTTACTGTATTTTTAGTGTGTTCGTAATTGTTTCTATGCTCTTTTCATTTCTGTGCTTGTTTACACTTTTAATGTGATGTATTCAAATCAAGGTTATATAGAACTAAAACCATAAAATGGTACATATTTGAAATAAATAAACCTTAAATAAAATGAAATATACAAAAACTTTATTTCTTTATTCTTTCTTTATTTTAACTTGATGTGCTAAAATTACTAAATTAATTAAATTAAAATGTAAAATTATATACATGCATACATACATGCATGCATATACTGTATATATATATATATATATATATAACACCATAATTGTTTCTGAAATGATGGTGCTTTGAAAGGGTTTCCCGAAATATTTCTGCATTTTCTATTTATTCTTGGAATTACAGTGACATTTTTATTTTATTATATATTTTGTGTGTTTGCTTTTTCAGAGACGACAGCACTTTGTCCAGACTCACCAGGCAGGCCTTCTTGCCAAGACAAGCATCCATTAGTGCAGAAACATGGGTTCAGGAGGCCTGACATTCAGCTGCTTGGTTTTGGCCACCCTGGTGACTCTAAATCATGCTGGCCTGGTAAAGAAGATGATCAGACACCGGCGGGAAGCTCTGACGATTCCCGGCATACACAATGTAACCCTTCCGAGCTCCTCTCAACCGGTCTTTTTTAACCACGTCTACAACATCAAAGTTCCAGGTAGCTCTCTGTGCTCGGTGGATCTGGACTCTCCTGTCGGTTCGGATCTTGAGCAGAAGGATGCGCCATCTGGCTCAGAAGTAACAGACCACACATTAGATGGCGGTAATCAGGTCGTCTTCACCCATCGCATCAACATCCCCAAGCAGGCGTGTGGCTGTACGGATGGGTTGCTGGACCTGAAGGAGCTCCTGAATCGGCTGGAGATGTTGGAGGGCGAGGTGTCGACGCTCAGAGAGCAATGCGCCACAGAAACCACCTGCTGCAGCGCTCAGGCCACAGGTACATGTTCACTTTCCAGACACTTTGAGATTCACTTATTGAGGGGGGAAAGTTCACAGTATTACGGATAATCACATTTTAAAGGTTTTTCAGTGTTAAAATACTTTCTCCTATTCAGGTTTAATATGCATAAACAAAGATATACAAGATATGTTGATTCCTTCACAAAGTGCAAACACTGTTCTTTTTGAGCATTATGATTACAATATAGCCCAACCAATGGTGTAAGTTTAAGGACGGGCAGACCAGTGTAAGAAATGGGAAGTCATCATTTTTTCATTCAGTTTGGTAATGATAATGGAGCAGAAATTACACTCTTCAATCATTAACCTTTTGATTCCAACCCTCTTTTTGGGCAAAATAAAATGATTGCAGTTCACGAACCTTCAGTAGGCCTACTACTGACATAATACTGGTCCCCCTTATTCATTTGTTTGTTTTATTTAACTTCTGTTAGACAGTTTTGTTTAACTTCTCACATGTTCTGATTCTGTAGGTACTGTAGGAACGAAGCCCTACTGCAGCGGCCGTGGAAACTATAGCACGGAGACCTGCGGCTGTATATGTGAGCCCGGATGGAAGGGCCCCAACTGCACCGTTCCCGACTGTCCCGGAGACTGCAACGACCAGGGCCGCTGCATTAATGGAAAGTGTGAGTGTTTCAATGGCTTCGTGGGTGATGACTGTAGCATGGAGACCTGTCTGGTTGACTGTGGCGAGAACGGGCGGTGCATTAACGGAGCATGCGTTTGCAATGAAGGCTTCTCTGGGGATGATTGCACAGAGACGGATTGTCTCAACAACTGTTTGGGACGCGGCCGCTGTGTTGATAGCGAGTGTGTCTGCGACGAACCCTGGACCGGATTCGATTGCTCCGAGCTCATCTGTCCGCATGACTGCTACGACCGCGGGCGATGTGAAAATGGGACTTGTTATTGCGATAAAGGCTACACTGGAGAGGACTGCGGGGCATTCGCTTGTTCGAACGACTGCTCGGGACGAGGTTTTTGTATTGACGGCCGCTGCGAATGCGACGCCGGCTACTCCGGCGAGGATTGTTCCAGCTTGACCTGTCCGAGCGACTGCAACCAAAGAGGGCACTGTTTCAACGGCGTGTGCATTTGTGAAATGGGTTATTTCGGAGAGGACTGTGGGAAGCTCTCCTGCCCGAATAACTGCAACAGTAGAGGGCGCTGCATTAATGGTCGTTGTGAATGCAACGTCGGATTCCAAGGCCGTGATTGTTCGGAGTTTAGCTGCCCCAATGATTGCAATAACCGCGGGCGCTGCGTTAACGGCCAGTGTGTTTGTGAAGAGGGATTCGGTGGCGAGGATTGCAGCATCAAAACCTGCCCGTCGGACTGCTATGGCCGAGGCCAGTGTGTGGATGGGAAGTGCATTTGCTTTGCGAACTTTGCCGGCGAAGACTGCGGTGAAATTAGTTGCCCGAGCAACTGCCTGAACCGTGGACGTTGTGTCACGGGGCAATGCGTTTGCAACGAAGGCTTCACCGGAGAGGACTGTGGTCAGAGGAAGTGTTCCAACGACTGCCTCGGCCGTGGACGTTGCGTGGAGGGACAGTGCGTTTGCCAGGAGGGTTTTGAGGGCCTGGATTGCTCCGTTCCCACCTGCCCTGGAAACTGCAATAACCGTGGGCGCTGCTTCAATGGGAAATGTGTCTGTGATGAGGGATTCGCTGGAGATGCCTGTGGAGAAAGAAGCTGTCCGAATGACTGCAATGGTGCGGGGCAATGTGTGGGCGGCCGCTGTGTATGCGATGAAGGCTACATTGGCGAGGACTGCTCAGAAGGTAATTGTCAAAAGCAGTCAATTATATTCTATATACTAGACTATTTATACTATAATTTATATACTATATATTAATATTTTGAACGTGTTTATATTTTCATATTTTCCATATTCATTTTAGTTACAGTTTAATAATTGTATTGTCTGTTTTTTTACCTTTTCTAAATAATTTTTATAATTTTGGCATGCCTTTATCATTTTTATTCATTTTTATTTAAGTTACAGTTGTTATTTTCTGAGTTTTTAAAGTAAAAAATATATTTTTAACATGTGGTGAAGTAAAATAAATGTTCATTGAAATACAATAAGAAACTTAAAATAAAAACTTAAACATTTTAGTTCTCGTTTTAATTTAGTTTAATTTGATGTACTAAAATAACTAAAACTGAAATAAAAATTTATAAAAACTATATAGACATATTAAAAAAAGGGGGGGGGGGGGGGGGAAAGCCTACAAAAAAATGACAAAACACACAACAAAATTACTAAAACTTTACCTAAAATCCAAATGAAAGTGGAAAATCTAAATATGAATGGTATCTCAGTGATACTAAAATAACACTCTGGTTATTTTAGTACTTGAAGTTAAACTAAATCAAAATTAAAAATGCTGTCTTCAAAACTAATGAGTTTACCAAGTAAAAAAATAAATAAATAAGTTATTTTTTATATTTTATTTGATTGTATTTCAGTTAATATTTATTTTATTTCAAGTAACAATATTTTTATGGATTTAGTTAACAATAATAACCCTGCAAAGCATTAGTTCTTACTCAGTACTAGTGATGCAAACACTTTTTTTATTTGCATTTCTTTGTTTTTATGGATTTAAATTAGAGGGATAATTCAGCCAAAAATGAAAGTACTGTGGCTCTCATGCAGTGTTGGGAAGGTTACTTTGGAAATGTAATAGGTTACAGATTACAAGTTACCCTACTTAAAATGTAATAGTAGTGTAACTTTTTCAATGACTTTATTAAAGTAATGTAACTGATTACTTTTGATTACTTTTAGATTACTTTTCTAAATTTCTAATGAATGTTTATTTGCAACTGTTAATCATTTTCAAACATTTACACCATGCAGGGTAAACCTTACAGTAGTGCTCAACACTGTCAGACTTTCAAAATCCTTCCTCACTTGAATTAAGATGATCAAATTTGAACCCATCCACCACAAAATCAGACTTTAGTACCGCCTTTTATTTTGAGATTGATCGGAAGTTCAATGCAGATTTAAAATCATAAGAAATAGTTTACTGATACTGTTTTTGAAACCAAATATTTGCATAACTACAGGAAACACTGCATCTAACAATGGTTTGGGAAAAAAATAGTTAATTAAAAATAATAATAAATAAAAGCATATACATCAACTCAAATACGGT